AGCTGCTGAAAGAGCTGTCCAATCATAACGAGCGCGTGGAGGAGCGCAAGGCGGCACTCAGCGAGCTCCTCAAGCTCATTCACGACAACATGCTGCAGGTGTGGGACGAGCACTTTAAGACCATCCTGCTGCTGCTTCTGGAGACCATGGGCGACAGAGAGGTAGGCCCCAGGCACACTCGGATGAGCTTTGACAGAAGTTGGATTTGGTTTTCCAAGTGCGTGGCGGGGCGGATGAAAAGAAAAAAAAAATCTGAAATTTGAGTCGTCATTCTGTGAGATGATGCAAAATTTGCGCAGATTGTGTGTGTGTGTGTGTGTGTGTGTGTGTGTGTGTGTGTGTGTGTGTGTGTGTGTGTGAGTGTGTGTGTATTAATATTATTATTATTATTATATTTTTTTATCACTAAATGGTTTTATATAGAATCAAATAAAATGTACCATAAATTTAGGTGAATTCTAATGTCATTTAAAAGAAATCCCTTAAATGCTGATTTTTTTTTTCTAAATAAATATCACCAATTTTATTTTACTAAACTAATGTTAAAATAAATTAATGAAATTAGTATTTAGTTATTTTATGTTAATATTAAATGTAATTTTAATTTTAATATAAGAGCAAATATTTTGTTTCCCCATTCAGTGTGGATTTAATTTGGAGAATTAAATCCATTAATATATTTAATATATTCATCTCTAACAATGTAACCCATTTATTTAATTGGAATATTGACTTTTAATATTTTCATAATTAAATCAAAATAAATTTCATGTAATTTAGTTCTGATATTCTAAAAATACATGTTTATTTTTGTCAGTGTAACATATATAATAGTTATTGATGTCTAAATATTTCATTTTGCTCATCCAAAAAAATTTTAATCAAATTGATGACAATTGATGATTCACAATTTATTCACCCCTCTCCACCCAGCACGTGATCCGCACGCTGGCTCTGCGGGTCCTGCGGGAGATTCTCAGCAAGCAGCCGTGGCGGTTCAAAAACTATGCTGAGCTCACCATCATGAAGGCGCTGGAGGCACACAAGGACCCCCACAAGGAGGTAAACAAACCATTTACAGAGGACTCATTTATAGAGCAAAAAATCGAGCTCGGGCCGCCCAGCACGATGTGGCACATGGTACTTCGCTGAAGGCACGCAAGTCTAAATTTGGAACTGCCTGCATACTGCCCCAATAAATAAATAAATACAATTTTCCAGTAGCCAATCACCTGTTTGTGTTTGGGCGTAGGTGGTACGGGCAGCGGAGGAAACGGCGGCCATGCTGGCGCTGTCCATCAGCCCCGAGCAGTGCATCAAGGTCCTGTGCCCCATCATCCAATCGGCTGACTACCCCATCAACCTGGCCGCCATCAAGATGCAGACCAAGGTGGTGGAGAGGATCCCCCGTGACGGCCTTGGTGGACTGCTGCCCGAGATTGTGCCGGGACTTATACAGGTGAGGGAGGGAGGGAGAGAGAGAGGGAGAGATTTTAATCAAAACGACTGATAGTGATGCATTTGTTTGTGGGCCACAGGGTTACGACAACTCTGAGAGCAGTGTGAGGAAAGCCTGCGTCTTCTGTTTGGTGGCCATTTACGCCGTCATCGGTGAGGACCTCAAGCCGCACCTGAGTCAGCTCTCCAGCAGCAAGGTGAGATGGGCACAGGAAATAGAAACCCACCAAAGTAAAAGCAGTAAGAGTACCAATACACAAGTTCCAAATAAAAGTTCAGTCGAGCCAAATAAGTTCGAAACGATCAAAATAAAAGCGGTTCTCGTCACCAACCTTGAGAGAGGGTACTCCACCCTTTTCTGACTGGTGGTCAGTTGACAGCTCCGCCCCTCTCTTCAAGCAAGGCTCCAAAACGTGTGGCCACAAACCCGAATACGGGACTACAAATTCACCCGAAACCAGGACTACAAAGTCGATCATCGAACTGCAGCCGAGGGTGTCTTGGCGCTGTGTGCACACATGGACACCCTTGTGTGAACATGGTGTTCGTTATGGACAACCCGTGACATTCGCAGAAGTCCAGTAACAAAACACCCTTGAAGTTCTGATCAGTTCCTCCTAATCACACCCTTCCAGGTCTCGCCGTCATTGCCCACGTTAGCATTGAAGTCACCAGAAAAACAATGCAGTCCCCAGGATAAGCAGTAGATGTAAATGGATGTATGGAGCTGACCAAAAACAGAAAAAAAAGCAGAAACATTGCTAAACATACGAGTGACAGATACAAACTATGGTTATATGTTTACATAAAGCCACTCTGAATCCTCTGAAATAATAGGAAGTAGCAACCCAGCAAAATATAAACAGAAACCCAGTTTCAACACCTATGTGACTCAAATGACCTGTGTCAAAGACACTCCCAATCATTATTTTATTTTTTTATTTTTTGACAAATATCTTTTTGTTGTGCTTTGTGCGTTTCAGTTGAAACTGCTGAACTTGTACATCAAACGCGCCCAGTCGGGCTCCAGTGGCAGCGAGCCGCCATCAGACGGCCTATAGGGGATGCGTGTGTTCCACGAGGGGAAGTGCCCGTCACTCAAGGATAATGAAGAAAATACCCCATCCCCGTCCCTGCCTCAACATAGGCTCAAAGGATCTATTGATGCTTTTTTTTTTTTCTCATTAAATGATTAGAATCGAGTGCACAAAGGTGCTGACTGGCACAAAAGATAAGTCATAAGCGGTACACAAGCAGACATGCTTGGCAATGCATGACTCACCATTTTATTTTTTTAGGTTCTTTAATCTGAGTTCTAATTTTTTTTTTTTTTCGACTGTGAACAAAATGTCCACCCCTTTCAGAATGCGACAGTGGATATGTATCTTATGTTAAAAAAAGGAAAATCCCAAACAGTCCTCCATGGGGGTGTGCACGTTTTTTTATTTTTCACTCCACCCCCTCTCCGCCCCAGCCTTGCTCTCTTGACACTTGGAGATTATTTTTATTCTTTTACAAAATCAAACATGTCACTTTGTCTTGTCTGTTTTTTTTTTTCTCTCCAGTCATGTAACCTTCTAGTTTGTCCACTGTTATCTTATTCGTCCGCTGTGTCCCCCCGTGCGTCCTGTGTATTTCCAAAACCGAGCTTACAATACAATAAAGAACTTGTACAGATCATTATGGTTTTGTTCAATTCTACTGCAGCAATTTAATAGAATTGGTAATTCATTACAGATTAACCTATGTGTGTTCTTTGCCTACGCAGCGTTCATGGGTCAATTGGACCTAGTGTACTTTTAATCATAATTTATTTTAAAATGTGGAACTTTATTTAAAATGAATGTCGAGCAAAAGATTTATTTTTCAATATTTATTAGGTAGAGTAAGTAAATAAAAAATTGTCAAAAAATATACACAACTATTTTTATAATTACATAAATGCAATACTTTGTATATAAAAACAAGCTAGCATTTTTATTGTGTGGCGTGATGCAAGTTTTCATAAGTATTGACATTTACAGTTGAGGATTTAAAAAATAATAATTATAGGAATTTTTCCACTATTTTCTTCAAAACAAAAATCCCGAAGATAATTTGTGTCGCAACAAGAACAAAAAACGGGTGGGTTATAGAAGTTAAAAATGCCCATTTTTAGATGAACTTTTGAGAATAACATATGTTCTAAGATGAAGAAGTTACTTGTTGTCGGCTATGTTCTTTTTCATTCTTATTATGCAACGAAGCGGCAGTCCCCGCCCCCTCTCAGCTAAAATAGCATAGACACTCTCCCCGAACATGTCCCCCTCCGCCCCCCACCCCTCAGTTTGCTTCCACACTTTGACCGCAAACCTCGTCCAGGGTCCGCTCGGATCAATCATTCACCAGAAGGAAAGAACAGCAGTAGCACCTGTTTTCACTCTGACCAGTGCTGCCATGAGTCCATGGTCGGACCTCCATACCTGGCCGGCTTGAATTCGTTAACTGGTGTGAGGCCACCACCGCGGGACTCGATGCTGTTCTGGCAGCCCTGCACCGAGAACTTCCGCGCGCTGCTACAGCAGCGACACGACGGAAGTCACCGACGGTAAGATCACATATTCAATTTGCCCTTTAAAAAAAAAAATTGTCATGTTTTCATCATACTCGCTGAAATTTGGGGGTGGGGTGTTAAAACACACATGGACGAGCCCGGCTATCGACTTGTTGCTCTCGCTTGAAAGAATGAATTAGTTTGTGACAGAAATCCCTCTCTAATATGCTGCGCTGTCAACTTTGCAAGTTGTTGTCGCTCGGAAACGGGGCGGGTCGTGGTTAATGACAGAAGCACGGAGGCCTTTGATTGGCTGAGCAACCACAGCAGAAGAACGTCGATTGGTTGGCGGGCCACTCCTAGCCGAGGCTGAAGCTGAGCCTAGCAAGGATTCCGCGGAGGAACAGCGGGGGCAGCACTTCACAGTGCGGGTTCCGCAGAGCGAGCGATGGGGAAGACGCTGGAGGGGCCATGTTGATGCCCGGCTGTGCGTCTCTTCGGGTTTGGCTCAAGGACCGCGGCGGCGAGGAGAGAACTGCGAGCCAGCCTGCTGATTGGAGCGACCGGGGGCGGTGCTACTAGCACCCCGGACAACAGACTCAAACGCTGCTGGAAGTTGGTGCTAGTTAGCCCCGCTAGGTCGCAGCAAGGTGTGCGGGGGAATAAGTCGCAAATATATTTCCCCTTTCCCGGTTGGTTTCCATCACTTAACACTCTTTGTGCCGAGTGTGGCGGTGACAAAAAAAGCAATACGAGTCCGGGAGGAGAAAGCCTCTCCTGAAGCTAGCTAGCCTAGCCACCGTTAGCATGTGAGCTTCGCCGTCCTCGCCTTCTTCGTCCGAGTCACGACCGTCACATTGGGGCTGTAAACTTCACATTGTGGCGGCCCCGAACGAGCACTTTGTTCCGCCGCACCCGAGAGCTAATGTAGTCCCCCGATCTAAAAGTGGAGAGTTATGGCGACAAGTTGCGTCTCGGTTGGATTCGCTTGGCTAGCCAGCTAGGCTAGGACAAGTTTCCCTCGTCGAGAGAGAAAGAGGCCGGGCGGACTTCCTCCTCGTCTCTTCCATCCCCTCCTCGTCCTCACGTCCCCCGGTCGTCATCTTCGCCCCCCACTAGAAGCAGCAAGCTGGCGGCCCCCCAAGTGGAAGCCGAGGACAAGGAGCTAGGCCCTATGGCCTGGGTGCTCAAGATCGACGACGCCACCATCGAGTCGGGGCTGGTGCACGATTTCGACGCCAGCCTCTCGGGCATCGGCCAGGAGCTGGGGGCGGCAGCCTACAGCATGAGGTTAGACCTCCAAACGACCGGGACACGGTGGACATTTAAGTCTCCATCCACAAAAGTACCACTGTGTCTTACTAGTAACGCTTGCCTCCCTACTAGTCCCACTTTTGGCCTACTTGTATAGAATTAGACCTTACTGCGATGCACGAGTTACACTACTAGTCTCCAACTACTAGACATGTGTCACACACTGGTAGCTTCTGTAACGCTGTATCAGCATTTATTCAATACCCTTGATAGGCATCTGTCCATGTACTAGTACACTCTTTGTCATCGGTTGAAAGCCAATTAAGTGCAATAGTAGAACAAATGTGTATTACCGATATCCCCCCCCACCCGCTGTATGGCATTTTTGACCATTACTAAGAAAACTAGGTTACTAGAGGGCAATATGGTGTCGAATAGGGTCCAGGAGACTTTTGGTGACTATGACATGCCTACTGGTTGGTCACAGTAGTTGACGAGCAAGGTTTTATTGCACATTAGCAGTCCAGCCATGGCACAAGTGGTGAATAAAAAGGTTACGAGTAAGACGGTTGTTGCGCAAGCGCACAATAGATATTCTGCTATTGTGGTGAATTCTCTTCAAATGAATGCACAGCGTGTACTCGTACTTGGATACGGAAAGCCATTTTGAGTATTTATTCAACATCCTTAATATGCAGATTAAGATCCATGTACAACTACAGTCTTTGTCATCACTAGTTGATATCTGCATGCCACCAGTAGAAGTCAAACGCTAGATGCAAACTAGTCAGAGTTTATGATGACACTAGTCACTAGTAGCATACAGTTGTCAATAGGGCTGTGCGATGTGGCTGAAATTCAAGAGCCAGATAAGTTGCTGACAATCTTCCTGAGTTCAGTGAAAATTAGCCATTTTTTTAAAAAGAAAAAACAATATCAATCAAAACAAAGTGGGTTTTTTTGGGGGTGGGGGGGTGGTTAATCAGAACTTACTGACAGCCATCAACATGAACAAAGTCAGCAACAAATTAAAATTAAATTCAAGTTGCATTGCAACTGCGCTTGAATGATAAAAACTTCACATCCCTGCATGTGACGATGGTTGTGTATGCTTTGGTTTGGTGCATTACATGGCGATGGATGTGTGGACTCACAGCGATTATGAACTACGCCTGCATCGTGTTTTGACTCTTTACTAATCCGCCCCCCAAAAAACCCGGTCACAGTTAAAGACTGCTATCTTATCCATTGGTAATTTTGAAATTCTAAATATGGTCACGTAATGTTGTAAAAGACAACATATGTGTACCATCAGTAGATATTTGACCACGAACACGGAAGTGAATTTCTTGCATGCGTGCCGTCTTGGCAGCAGCGGCTGCGTGTCCCTCCTCCCTCTCACCCTCTAGCTTGATGATTGTCATCAGCTAGTTTGAACTGTCAATCACTGCCAAACTTGGAAGGAGAATTGTTTTCGGTTGAACTGAAATGTACAACGCCACTGTGGCGAAGTCACATGACTGATGTTGTCCTCGTTTGGATTTGAATATCTTGAATGTTCATATCTCAATTTGCAGACAATGAAGACATATCGCCCAGCCCGAGTGGCCAACTAGTGTATGGATTCCCCTCACTTGTAACATTTAGTGGCTTTAATCGTGCTACTGCATGACTATTTGCATACCATGGATATGGAATAAAAACTCAAACAGCTCTAGACCTACATTGCTGGGACTACTAGCCCCTCACCCCAATTTCCCAACTGAATTGTGTTCTTCGCCGGGGGCGGGGTGGGTCTTGATTGCTGTTCTTTGTTTTGGGATTTTGTGGGTCCCAGCGGGAGATTCAGTCGACTCACGGCTTCCTCCCACATTCAAAATTAGTGTCTGTCGATATGTACCCTGTGATTGGCTAGCGGCCAGTCTAGGGTGACTCCTCTGTGTAGCTCCTTTCACGAGCACAATGAATTCATGTTGGGTGTCACCACCTGTCAATGCCAATAAAGCGGAAGCTGAAGCGTCGCAAGTTCGAGTGAACGCCCCACATTGACGTGGGGAGGGAAGCGTTTCAAAGCCAAAGGGTAAGCAGAGCTGCAGCGTTAGCCCGGATGACCATTAGCTTCTCATAACAATGCTCAGCTAAATTGTCGACATGTGGGTTCGGATTTGGCCGCCTTGTACGACACGCCACAAAATTAATTTGTCATTCGGTGGCTTGGTGATGAAAACGTTACATCGACGAATGATGATGCCGTGGAATTTCTTGCCGCTTGAGTTAAGTGGGATCACTCTCGCTTGGCTGGTGCACTGCATGAGAACGCTCCACTCCGTACATCTGGCCAGTTGTCGAGAAATATGCTGTGAAAATGCTTCTTGATTGACTCTTGTGGTATTTTGACAAAAGCTTGTTGTTGTTGACATCGAGGAATTGCCGTGTGACCCAATACCATGAGGAAGTCCACGGCATGAGTGTGTTACAAGTATTTGACGCCCACACGTTTCCTTATCAGCTCCCCCTCCGCCATCTGCCCGCAGCTGCGTTTATCTCGTCCGCGGTTGTGTTTGGCGAGCTTGTTAACTCTGCATTTGGGTGAGGGGTCAGGACACCTCGGCCCAGTCGGGTGACTCTGGAAGACGCCGCGGGTTGTCCGTGGTGGTCTGGCTGAAAACGGAGCGTTTTTTTTTTTTCAAATAATAAATACACGATAACATGCTTGCTGAAGTGTGCACACCCTACAAGAACTGGGGACGTGGCGGTGTTCTGATTGAACCAATCACTATCAAACTCTTGTTAAATGAGTGTCTGCGCACACCCCTCCAGGTTTCAAGAGCCTCTGATCAACTCCCGTTACACTTCCAATGTTCTAGTAGGCTTTTCGTGACGCCCTCGTCTCCTGTGCGTTGCAGTGATGTGCTGGCCCTGCCCATCTTCAAGCAGGAGGACTCCAGCCTCCCCCTGGAGAGCGAGAGCAAGAACCCCCCATTCCAGTATGTGCTGTGCGCCGCCACCTCGCCCGCCGTCAAGCTGCATGACGAGACGCTCACGTACCTCAACCAAGGTCCTCCCAGTTATCTTAAAACATCGATCGGCCGCGGCGTCAAACGCTAGCAACTTCCTTTTTTTTTTCTTTCTTTTTTTAATTTCACGTATAAAATGAAACAGGGCTGGAGAAATAAGGTTCGTAGTTGGTGTTTTGTGGCTGTCTTGCAGGTCAGTCTTACGAGGTGCGCATGTTGGACAACAGGAAGCCCGGCGAGATCCCAGAACTCACCAACAAGATGGTGAAAGTAAGGACACGCACCGTCAACGCGGGTTCGGTCGTCATTTGTATGACACGGTTTGTGTGCGTGTGTGTGAGTGTAGAGCACAGTGCGTGTCGTGTTCCACGACCGGCGGCTTCAGTACACGGAACACCAGCAGCTGGAGGGATGGAAGTGGAATCGGCCCGGCGACCGTTTATTGGATATCGGTAACCACGCGCCGCCCCAAAAGCATCACGTCTCGTGTGAGCGGGCGTATTTGGATGTTCTGAGAAGTGCATGCGTGTGCGCGGCAGATATTCCCATGTCAGTGGGCATCGTGGAGCCCAAGACGCACCCCTCCCAGCTCAATGCCGCGGAGTTCCTGTGGGACTTGAACAAGAGAGCGTCCGTCTTCGTCCAGGTAAAGCGGTTGGCCATTCAGGGAGTTTGTGGAAACGTACGTTTTGCCAGAGGTGGGCGATTTACAAACATGTTCCCGGTTTGTTTGTCACACATTAGCGGATGGGTTTTTTATTTATTTATTTGTTTAAAATTAATTTTAATAAATCGATGCACTATTCAGATTGAGTAAAATGTTCATGGAAATTTATTGTTTTGTTTTTGAATTACATGCAGTAAATTGTGATTATTTATCATTTACTTTGATTTAAAAAAATAAATTTAAGACATTCATTTCTGAATTAATTTTTTTATTTTATTTTTTTTAACATTTGGTCACATTCATAATTTTATGTTTCGGGGGATTTCCGCAAAAAGTAACTTCATGATTCGTTCAGGAATTTATCATTAGTTCACCATTTAATTATCTTAATTCATCTAAATATTTCTTTAGTGTACTTGCATAATTCTACAATTTTTTTTGTTACTAGGCTTATTTTTGAATAAACTTTTCAACCCACATGTATTCATAATGTATTTAAATACTTGTTTGAAATGATGTTATGAAGATCTGTTTTGACGAATGACCTTGATTCACCTGTTGTGTTGTTTTTCCGGTTTGGCTCCGCCTCTGGCCCGCTCGCAGGTTCACTGCATCAGCACCGAGTTCACGCCGCGCAAACACGGTGGCGAGAAGGGCGTCCCCTTCAGGATCCAGATCGACACGTTTGCGCCGGGGGACGCCGGCGACTACGCAGAGCACTTGCACTCCGCCTCCTGCCAAATCAAAGTCTTTAAGGTATTCGCTGCTCACTCCTGGGCTGGATTTTTTTTGGGGGGGGGCTACAGCCTAAAATGCGGAAAATCCTGAAAGCTGTGATATTTTTGGGGGTTTGAAGAACTACAGTTGATAGCTCTGGATAAAATCAAGAGGAAAAATACAACCTTTTATTCATATTTTGGTACGAGTGACTTTTTGTCCTCTTTGTTTTCAGCAAATAAATGCTCAAAGACAATTTTTGTATTTGGAAGTCAGAAGTTATGTGGTCAGTAGTTTAGATAATAAATCATTTTACTCAGACATATACCAAAGGTAAATAGAAAAGTCAGAAATATTCCGAATTCTTCTAGTCTTGTAGTTTAGCTGCACTGTAGATTTCAAGTTAAAGTGCCAGGTTTTTATGATTAAAAAAAAGAGAGAGAGAGAGATGACGATCAATTAATTAAAGTTTCGCCCACTGCTGATGTAACCAAAAACTTGTACACTTCGTATTTGAAACCCCACTTGAGCAGCTGAAGTTTATTGGGGGTTACTTAGAGGCGCTAAAATGGTGGCAGCTGTGCGCTGATTCATGTAATATGAGTTTGGATGCAATGCGATAAATTACATTTTTTTAATTTTATTTTATTTTGGGGGGCGGTGACAGTTGAACTCTACATGTGACAGCTCTTGTTTTCATTGTCATTTAAATCGCAAAACGTCATTGGCGATGCGTTGTGCATTGCTGGAATAAAAAATTATGTCACTCCCTTACCGGAAAAATTATATACATAGTGTGATTGATTGATCCGCATTAGTTTGTCCCCCGCCCCTTTTTTTTTTTTTTAAGCCAAAAGGTGCGGATCGTAAGCAGAAGACGGATCGCGAGAAGATGGAGAAACGTAGCGCTCAGGAGAAGGAGAAGTACCAGCCTTCTTACGATACCACTATCCTGTCCGAGGTCAGTTCCGTTTGGGTCGCACAGCAGCGCCTTGCGTCGGTCGCCCGCCTGCTCCCTCACTTCTTGCGTGTCCGTCAAGCAGACGAGACTGGAGCCCATCATCGAGGAAGCAGGCGACCACGAGCTGAAGAAATCCAGCAAGCGGACGCTCCCGGCTGACTGCGGCGACTCTTTGGCCAAGAGAGGCAGCGTGAGTCAAATTTGGATTTCAACAAAAGTCTTCAGAAAACATTGGTGGGGGGGGGGGGGGTGTTGTGCAAGCATATGTGTGCTTTTATTGTTATTGTGGCCATTGATGAAAAATGACTTCAGGAATGATGCTAATGTAGTTTGTACAATAGCAAGCTGATTTTGTGATCTGTGTTTTTTTTCCCCTTAAATTCACAACAATTGAAGACATTGTACATGGTACCAGCCTTCTTACGATACCACTATCCTGTCCGAGGTCAGTTCCGTTTGGGTCGCACAGCAGCGCCTTGCGTCGGTCGCCCGCCTGCTCCCTCACTTCTTGCGTGTCCGTCAAGCAGACGAGACTGGAGCCCATCATCGAGGAAGCAGGCGACCACGAGCTGAAGAAATCCAGCAAGCGGACGCTCCCGGCTGACTGCGGCGACTCCTTGGCCAAGAGAGGCAGCGTGAGTCAAATTTGTATTTCAACAAAAGTCTTCAGAAAACATTGGTGGAGGGGGGGGGGGGTGTTGTGCAAGCATATGTGTGCTTTTATTGTTATTGTGGCCATTGATGAAAAATGACTTCAGGAATGATGCTAATGTAGTTTGTACAATAGCAAGCTGATTTTGTGATCTGTGTTTTTTTTCCCCTTAAATTCACAACAATTGAAGACATTGTACATGTTTTATTATACTTCGTAATTTTATTTTGTAAGTATGTTAAATAGTCAATACTTTTGTTGTGCCGAAATATTTTTGTTCATTTTAGGATTTTTTTTTAATAGATTTTTGTTTCTTTGGGAATCTTTTCTCATTGCACATCAAAAGTTTGCATTGTTTATTTTATTGTGAAAATAATTTTTATCCAAAATACATGTGACATTTCCTAATTTTTTTTCCTATTATTAACTAAATGACCATACATTAATTTAAATATTTAAAATGTTGCACAAATTTCCAGTTAAATTCATTAACTAGTTTGGCTTGCTTCGAAAACCGCATCCAGCAAATCCCTGTAAAAAAAAAAAAAAAATTCAAGTGTGATTATGATGTGGGATTCTGATTAACTTGGGGGGAGAAAAAAATCCAACAAATTATAATAATATAATTTGGATTTTAAACAGTATTATATTTTGTATGAATTTTAGCCTGACGAAAAGTTGAACAGGGCGCTCGTGTACCGTGCACGTGCTTTTCATCGGCGCTCCAGTAAATGTTGCTTAATTGTTGTTTTTGTCAGTGTTCCCCGTGGCCGGACAGCGCCTACGTGGCCCCCAACCAGGCAGCTACTCCCTCCTTCACGTCCACGCCTCTCTCCACCTACACCACCTCCACCACCA